GTTCATGTTTCAGACCTCGGAAGGATCATGCTGAACTTTGCTAAACGATAATCCCGATCCCGCTCAATAAAATAAGTTAGCCGCTCAATTAAATAAGTTAGGCCATGCTTATGGCTCAGAGCTGCTTTATGCATTTTTTGCACCTATGCAATGCAAAAAACGCATACTGACGAGGGGTTGTCTGTGTGTGTGTCCGTGTATGTGCGAGTCTGTGTGTGCATCTATACCGATTTTTCACCTCAAGACCTATAAAAGCCATAGGGATGAAACTTTGGGAATTTAATCTACGTGCATGTACGGGCCCGTCAAAGTTTTTTGGCAGGGAAGCTGCTAATTCGGGAGCAAGAAAAGCTAGAAAGCTGAAATTTTAACGAGATGTTTCCCATCCAAGCAGATATTAATGAGCTCAAGTGCGTGGCCCGCACGCACGAGCCCGTGAGAGTTTTTTTCGGATAGACTGCTAACTCGGGAATCTGAGAAGCTAGAAGACTGAAATTTCAAGGGGATGTTCAGCATACAAGCACGTATTAATGAGCTCAAACTCAGACACCGGTTATACATGGTTCCTGTGTACGGCCCGTGAATTTTTTGTAGGTAATTTACTAACTTGGGAAAAACGAGAGCCAGAAAGCTGAAATTTTAAGGGGGTTTTTCCTGACAGTCCTGGCGGCCAGTCTTAATTCGTTTAGCTAGAGGCATCTGCAGGAAAAACCGGTAGCGTTAGCGACAAAAATCTGCTGGGAACTATGCAAAAAACGCGTCCTCGCATCAGCAGTGGGTGCGCTGGCCATTCATTTTCGACTTCTTAAGGGGAAGCAAAGAACTGGCAGAGGAAATACAATCTCTTTAGTCCCTTAGTGGATTTTACAATGATAATAAAGTCAAGAATTTATAATAAAATGACTTCTCTAAAAAAAATTATTCAACGTATTGTCAGAATTTTCATTGCCCATAACAAGACGGAAGAGTACCCGTAAATAATGACAGTGGCTTTGAGGCAACCCTTACTTTCATAAAGTCCAGCACAGCTTATATTAAGCCCAATCGCATAGACAATGCGTACAGAGCTCCGTACTGTAATCCCCTAGGAGTAGGTTAGGCTCTGTAACAAAATAACAGGACACTGATGATCGCCTTTGCGCATAGAACGAAACAAGTGTTCTCCGTTACGTTGGTCAGACTCGAAAGCAAATGAATTAATCCAAAGCTAATAAAAAATCTACTGTGAAAAAAGTCCCCTCCCCCCTCCCCCCCTCTCCTTACGTCGGTCATATTCGAGAGAAGATGAATTAATCCAAAGCCAGTAAAAATCTACTATAAAAAAAAAAAATGCAAAATTGAGAGCTGGAAATACTCATTCACAGATAAAAATAATCACACAGCTCTATGTATGTCTGCACCGAATATCAAAACAGTGTAAAATTTCGCTGTTATAACCTGATTGAGTAGGGCATCATAGATGTCGTCGAATTCCGTGTATACGTGTGCTATGCCAACCAATTCGCTACATTCCGGATCGACTGCTGCTGCCCCCTTCAACAGCACTTTGGCCATTTGGCTTTTTCCGTCTGAAAAAATCTTTATCCAATTAATTTGATTTGTCCTCTACGAAGCAGCATATGAATTGTTACGTGGCCAGACCACAGTACACCTATGAAGCCCCACAATGAGGACTGCTAGGTTGAAAATAGGCTACACAAGTAGCAAAAAGAATTCAATAAAAAAAGCAGTGAAAACAGCGATGCTGCGGACAAAGCGCAGTGGCAAGTGGTGCCGAAATTTGAAATAACAGACCAATAGGATTGTACGCAGGGCATGTGTAAGGTGTTATTTTATGGTGCAAACTGCTTTTATCTTTTAGATAAGTTTCGCTTTCGCACTGAGATAATCAAACTTTCTTCATTTTTCCGCTAGTATTTACACATCCTGATGATCAAGTCTTCTTTTAAATAACGCTCAAAACACAGAGCACTGATGGTGAAGCTCCTGCTACAGAATGGACTACTTTCGAGTGCCTTCGCCTCTCATAAAAGGTGGATTTGAAGAGGAGGGAGGAGGGGAGGAAAAAAACAACAGGGTTAACTTTTGGAGGGGGGAAGGGGGAAAACGAGGGTCATCATATCTTGCAGTATAAATACTACTAGTTAGCATTTCAATGGCTCTGTGTGAGGAAACTCAAATAAATGTGTATTATGAATGAAGCATACCATCATTCGTTGAGCCGTTTGCATCGCCAGCACTTTGGCTTTCTGATGTTGCCTTTTTTCTTCCACGGCCTTTCACCACTTTCTTTTTCTCTTCTTCACTATTACCGACATCTCCATCGACCTCTTCATCTCCATCTTTCTTTTTTGCCTGCAAAAAATCACTATAATAACTATGAATGTTCCCACGCGGGAATTCCCTAGTATGCAAAAGAGGCAAACCACGTACCTAAGAGAGAGGCAAACCACGTACCAACCACGTACCCCACTCACGTACCTAAGAATCCGGTGTTAAAACATCATTTTTATGCGTTTTTTGCAGCAATGCAATGCGAAAAACGCATATTGACGAGAGGTTGTCTG